AATGAGAGAAGTCGGTAGGTTAATTAACGAAGCAAAAACCGCAGGGAAACTGAAAACAATTAAGGATTTCTTTATTCCTTCCAACTTTAACCATGTGATTGATGCAGTCAGGTCTGTGGCTGGATATGATGAGGAAACAAATCAATACAAGACTCCATCCTTGGCCCTCAAACTCGGCCATAGCCTCAGAAAGCTAGCAGATATTCTTGAATGTGACTCAAAAATGGAGCATTGTGTTGATGAACTATTTATTAAAAACCTCCAACGAAGCCGGCTGCTTTTTGAGAAGAGGTGGGACGTCTGTGTTTCTTCTGCTGCCCTACAGACCCTCCGGCAAGCCAAGTGGAACACTCCGGACCTGCTCCCTCTGACTGAGGACGTTAGAGCCATGCATGCACATATTGAGGTATGTCGACCTGAATATGTGCAAACCCTAATAAGTGAGCCAACGTCTAAGCATTGGTCTAAACTGGCAGTTTTGACTCTTTGTGAGGTCATCATTTTCAATCGAAGAAGGGAAGGTGAGGTTTCAAAGATGCCACTGACAGCCTTTACCTTAAGAAGTAAGACTGGGATCCATTCTGACATTGCTCTGGGACTGTCCCAACTTGAGAAAAAGCTGTGTCAGCATTTTCAACGCATTGAAATTAAAGGGAAAAGAAGTGGGAAAGTGGTGGTTCTTTTGACTCCTGAAATGATTGCTTGGATGGAGGTGCTGGTGGAGAACAGAAGGGCCTGTTCCATCTCTGACCATAACCCATACTTCTTTTCCCGCCCGGGCGCAGACACCCACATCAGGGGATCAGACTCCCTACGCCAGGTAGCCAAAGAATGTGGTGCGGTGCATCCAGAGATGCTATCCTCAACCAAACTTAGAAAGCACATAGCTACTATGTCTACAGTTCTCAATATGAAAGAGAATGAGATGGACATACTTGCCAACTTCCTCGGCCATGACATTCGCATCCACAGGCAATATTACAGACTACCAGAGGGGACACTGGAGCTGGCCAAAATCAGCAAAGTGTTGATGGCCATGGAGCAGGGAAGAGTGACGGAATTCGAAGGAAAGAGCCTCGACCAGATACAAATTGAGCCTGAAGGTAATTCTTGATATTATTAAAATATGTATGATTTTTTTCCCCTAAAGGCCACTTGTATTTTTATTTTCTGTGCGACAGGGAGAGCAGTAGAGATCCTCTCACAAACGGACGGGCTAAAAGAAACTTCAAGCGGAGAACCTTCAACCATTCATCCAGATGCACCCCATGGTAGTGGCAGTGCCCCTTCTGGTAAGTGTACCAGGTGGGGGATTACAGCCAGGCTGCTTGGTCCTCACCCTGGGAGTGTATATTGCTAATATATTTTTATTTCTCTCCCTAGAACGTTAGAGAAAGCCATGGTCTGCATCTGAGGTGAAGGCTGTGGAGAAGACCATGACACCTTTCATACAGACTGGAAAGGTCCCTGGGAAGTCTCACTGCCTGGCCTGGCCTGGCCTGGCCTGCATTAATGCCTCACCAGATGACCTTAGACATCGGACATGGAGTGGCATTAAATTCTATGTCAAAAATAGAATCACTGCAATTCGAAAAAAAAATCTAAAATAAAATTCCTTTAAAATAGTTGTTTGGTTTCTATTGACTGTTTTGTATTACTTAAAGTAGTCCCAGTAAAAAAAGATTATGTCTATGGGTCCCATTCTGAACGGCCCTGTCAAAGGGACCCACCAGGTAACAAAAACGTGTGTGTGTGTGTGTGTGTGTGTGTGTGTGTGTGTGTGTGTGTGTGTGCTCCTCTCCCTTGTTGTTGGTTGTTTTTGTCTTATTTTTGAGTTTGTGTTTATTAAATCTATAATCTTTATTTGTAAATCACTTTTCAAAAACAATGTTTACAAAGCGCTGCACAGTCAGGATAAACGATACAACAGTCAAAATACTTGGATACTTGGATACGATGGATACTTGGATACGATAGATACTTGGATACGACAGATACTTGGATACTTGGATACGATAGATACTAGAGACACAACAAAGCCAAAGCAGTAAAATACAGCATGTGGAGTTTAAAACTAACAGTTAAAAGCTGTTTGATCAAAGTGGGTTTTAAGTGATTTAAAGGAGACTCGGGTGGTTCCAGACCCGAGGAGCCCGGACAGAAGGACTCTTTCGTCTGTAAATATCTGACAGATGTTCAGACATACAATATTTTAATTAGTAGTAAAAGCAGTAGTTAAACAATAATTGCTATATTTTTAGGTTTTATGTTTATAGATTTATATTAGAGCACCCTTAAATTTGTTATTTGTCAAAATATTATAATTGTTTGTTTTGTACAAAAAGAACCTTTCCCTGAGGTTCAGCTTCTCAAACTGTATCTTTGTGAGTCCGTCTGTTTTACCACCGCACCGCTGTGCCTTTAGATCCTCCATAAGTCATGACCATGGACTGTTAGTGTACTATAGTATTGCTTTACTCGGACTCTGTCTCGGACTCGGTCTTGGACTTGGACTCGGACACAGACTCGGACTTGGTATGTCAGTGTGGTATTTTTTATAATTTACTTTTTATTGTCATCACACAATGTACACTTCAAAAGTAACAAGGCTCATATAGAAAAAAAAACGATGCTTAGCTTAGCACTCTGTCCTTGAACATGTTTCAAATGACAATATTTTTCTTTAATCGTAAAAGAACACAAAATAAACACAAACAAAAAATAAATAAAAGTAGCTTATAACCCTGGCAGAGTATATATATTGAACATTACATGAGCCCATTCTTCCACAGCAGGAGTCAGATCACCTCGCCATCTCCTTGTTATAGCTTTTTTACTGCCAACAGCATCATTTCAAAACTGGTTGGAATTTTAACTTCTAACACTTCCTCTATCGACACTTTCAAATCTATCCAAAAAATAGTTATGCTGGAGCATCCCCAGAAGAAGTGGAAGTGATCTGCTTTTGTTTCACCACAAGACCTCCAACATTTTATTTCTCCATGTTTTCTCTGAGCAGGAGTAGCAAAAAACCAGGGTGGTTTTGATTCTCTAGTTCTCTGATCAGTCTCTGGGGTCTGGTCAATCCGGGACGTACGGTATGATGCACTTTTCTGGGCTTGCAATCCTGCATAGAACGTCCCCTTTAAGTTGTTGACGTTCACAGGAGATGTATCCAGGCCTGGGAGCGACGATACAGGAACTGGCTCATTACTGAATTATAGAGCGATCAATGAGGTGGAACACAGATCATTCCATCAGAGCGAGAACGTGTAAGGACAAGGCTCTCACGTGTGCAGCGCTTTGGAAATGATTTGACACGTCTCTCTATTTTCATGCCAGATGTGATAGATGCACTTCACCCAGAAAGACAGGGACGGAAAATAGTGAAAAAAACTCAAATGGAATCCGTCATGTTTGAGTTTCTATAAATACAAACCTTCTCTGACAATGGCCCTCATCTATGAAAGTTGCGCAGAAAAGGGTGTATATTTTGGGTGTGTATTCCAAATACGCACAAGCCAACGCCGGATTTATGAACGTGCGAGACACGCACAGATCTGAGCGCACGCACAGCGGCTGTTGATAAATGTCGCGGCTGAAAATGAACATATTTATGAAAGTCACGCCTAGAACTATGCAGCAACACTCCCCGTTTTTACAACAACTGAGAGGAAACGGCACAACAACAAAAAATTTACGGAGAAGAAGGTTGAGACCATTATGAAAAGTCTTTCTATTTGGAATCCTCAAAAGTCTCGCCATCCATGGTCTCTCATCCATGGTCTCTCATCCATGGTCTCTCATTCATGGTCTCTCATCCATGGTCTCTCATCCATGGTCTCGCATCCATTGTCTCTCATCTATGGTCTCTCATCCATGGTCTCTCATCCATGGTCTCTCATCCATGGTCTCTCATTCATGGTCTCTCATCCATGGTCTCTCATCCATGGTCTCGCATCCATGGTCTCTCATTCATGGTCTCACATCCATTGTCTCTCATCTATGGTCTCTCATCCATGGTCTCTCATTCATGGTCTCTCATTCATGGTCTCACATCCATTGTCTCTCATCTATGGTCTCGCATCCATGGTCTCTCATTCATGGTCTCTCATCTATGGTCTCTCATTCATGGTCTCACATCCATTGTTTCTCATCTATGGTCTCTCATCCATGGTCTCTCATCCATGGTCTCTCACCCATGGTCTCTCACCCATGGTCTCTCACCCATGGTCTCTCACCCATGGTCTCTCATCCATGGTCTCTCATCCATGGTCTCTCATCCATGAGCTGCTCCATCAGTGCATCCAGTGGCACACCGTGGTCCTGTGCCTGTTGGTCCGAGCCAGGACCATGTGGCACACTTGTACCAGGAGGTACAAGAGCGCAGCCCCTGCATGTCCCAGAGCCATCTCCCTCTGATCAGCCCCACGCAGCGCCCCCTGGTGGCGCGCGTCTTTGCTTGGACCCGCATGAACCAAATGCTGTGGCACTGATTGTAGGTGAGAACAATCCACACATGGGAGCCTTCAGAGTTTGACATCTGGTAAGTTTTTTAACAACACAAACTAGCCCTACATAATGAGAGGTGTGCCTATTATTTTGCCAGAGTGGGAACATGTTTATTGTTGTCCAAATCTTGAATTTCATGTGTGTTTTGGGGTTTTGTAATGAAGGTTGAAATGAGCGTACACATTTACACCACCTCCAGACTCGGTGTATATTCTGTGCGTACCGTTCGCCCACGTCCAGATTGATAAATGCCAAAAAGTGTACATTTTTTGCGTACGCCTCATTTACACCTGGATTTGGCCGTACGCAAGTTTCATACATGAGGCCCAATGTCTCTCCCATCACCACCTATGATAAATAATAATAATGCATCCGTTTTTTACAGCGCTTTCTGGACTCAGTCTCTTCATCATTATTCATTCTCTCCAAACACAGTGGTGATAAACTTCCACAGCCACAGCAGACAGTAGCTCAGTTGGTAGAGCATTGGCCCCTGAGCCTGAAGGTCGTGGGTTCGAGCCCACCATGAGACCTACTTCACGACTCCCACTGATGACTGCTGTCGTTGTGTCCTTGGGCAGGTCACTTAACCCAACTTTGCCTGAAGCTCCCACTGAAAGATCTCAGCTCCTGTGGACTCAGCACCTGCAGGAGGATCAGTGAGGGGCTGGTGCTCTGTGACTGGGTGGCATCTCTGCTTCAGGGGTTCCATCTGCAAACCCTCAACAAAAAATGTATATCGGTCGATATCTGTCGATATCTGTGCCCATGACTGGTTGGCCCCAGTTATTATTGCCCATGAATCTGTTCATAACCTCAAAAAGAGCCGAGTTGTGACAGACCGTCCCGAGCTGATCTAGCTGACCCCGGGGTGACCGGAGGAACAACACTGTTATGTCCAAATAAAAGTGATTTATAAAAGCGAACACTAATCGGGTCAAACGCCCTGTGTTGTCGGGTAATCCCGGGTTCAGGAGCAGAGCGGCGATGCTCCGGAGCAACAGTGGCTGTGTTTGTTGTCATTCCAGAGGCTTCGGCCTCTGCCGCTGGACACCTATCTGTCCCTGAGCAAACAGGACCAGGCCACGACCTCCGGCTGTTTTTACACGCAGCCAGGATCCAGACAGGGCCGCACTCTGCACCAGCGGAATGCACCCAGCACCGTGACCGGGCCGTGGCCGTGAGCTGCACACCTCACCCTCAGACACCTCACCCTCACACTGACTCCTCACACTGACTCCTCACCCTCACACTGACTCCTCACACTGACTCCTCACCCTCACACTGACTCCTCACACTGACTCCTCACCCTCACACTGACTCCTCACACTGACTCCTCACACCTCACACTGACTCCTCACACTGACTCCTCACCCTCACACTGACTCCTCACACTGACTCCTCACCCTCACACTGACTCCTCACACTGACTCCTCACACTGACTCCTCACCCTCACACTGACTCCTCACACTGACTCCTCACCCTCACACTGACTCCTCACACTGACTCCTCACCCTCACACTGACTCCTCACACTGACTCCTCACCCTCACACTGACTCCTCACACTGACTCCTCACCCTCACACTGACTCCTCACACACTCCCTCACCTCTCCCACCCACACTGACTCCTCACACTCTCACTCCCTCACACTGACTCCTCACACTGACTCCTCACACTGACTCCTCACACTGACTCCTCACACTGACTCCACACCCTCACACTGACTCCTCACACTGACACACTTCCCTACCTCACACTGACTCCTCACACTGACTCCTCACACTGACTCCTCACCACTGACTCCTCACACTGACTCCTCACCCTCACACTGACTCCTCACACTGACTCCTCACCCTCACACTGACTCCTCACACTGACTCCTCACCTCACACTGACTCCTCACCCTCACACTGACTCCTCACACTGACTCCTCACACTGACTCCTCACCTCACACTGACTCCTCACACTGACTCCTCACCTCACACTGACTCCTCACCCACACTGACTCCTCACACTGACTCCTCACCCTCACACTGACTCCTCACACTGACTCCTCACCCTCACACTGACTCCTCACCCTCACACTGACTCTCACACTGACTCCTCACCCTCACACTGACTCCTCACCTGCTCTCACTCCACTGACTCCTCACACTGACTCCTCACCTACACTGACTCCTCACCCTCACACTGACTCCTCACACTGACTCCTCACCCTCCCACACTGACTCCTCACGCCTCACCCTCACATACTCACACTGACTCCTCACCCTCACACTGACACTCACTCCCTCACTCTCACACTGACTCCTCACCCTCACACTGACTCCTCACCCTCACCCTCACACTGACTCCTCACACTGACTCCTCACCCTGACACTGACTCCTCACCCTCACACTGACTCCTCACACTGACTCCTCACCCTCACACTGACTCCTCACCCTCACACTGACTCCTCACCCTGACACTGACTCCTCACCCTCACACTGACTCCTCACCCTCACACTGACTCCTCACCCTCACACAGACTCCTCACACTGACTCCTCACCCTCACACAGACTCCTCACCCTCACACTGACTCCTCACCCTCACACTGACTCCTCACACTGACTCCTCACCCTCACACTGACACCTCACCCTCACACTGACTCCTCACACTGACTCCTCACCCTCACACTGACTCCTCACCCTCACACTGACTCCTCACACTGACTCCTCACCCTGACACTGACTCCTCACCCTCACACTGACTCCTCACACTGACTCCTCACACTGACTCCTCACCCTGACACTGACTCCTCACCCTCACACTGACTCCTCACACTGACTCCTCACCCTCACACTGACTCCTCACCCTCACACTGACTCCTCACCCTGACACTGACTCCTCACCCTCACACTGACTCCTCACCCTCACACAGACTCCTCACACTGACTCCTCACACTGACTCCTCACACTGACTCCTCACACTGACTCCTCACCCTCACACTGACTCCTCACCCTCACACAGACTCCTCACACTGACTCCTCACCCTCACACTGACTCCTCACACTGACTCCTCACACCTCCTCACACTGACTCCTCACCCTCACACTGACTCCTCACACTGACACTGACTCCTCACCCTCACACTGACTCCTCACACTGACTCCTCACCCTCACACTGACTCCTCACCCTCACACTGACTCCTCACCCTCACACTGACTCCTCACCCTGACACTGACTCCTCACCCTCACACTGACTCCTCACCCTCACACTGACTCCTCACCCTCACACTGACTCCTCACCCTCACACTGACTCCTCACCCTCACACAGACTCCTCACACGACTCCTCACCCTCACACTGACTCCTCACCCTCACACTGACTCCTCACCCTCACACTGACTCCTCACCCTCACACTGACTCCTCACCCTCACACAGACTCCTCACACTGACTCCTCACCCTCACACTGACTCCTCACCCTCACACTGACTCCTCACCCTCACACAGACTCCTCACACTGACTCCTCACACTGACACTGACTCCTCACCCTCACACTGACTCCTCACACTGACTCCTCACCCTCACACTGACTCCTCACCCTGACACTGACTCCTCACCCTCACACTGACTCCTCACCCTCACACTGACTCCTCACACTGACTCCTCACCCTCACACTGACTCCTCACCCTGACACTGACTCCTCACCCTCACACAGACTCCTCACACCCTCACACAGACTCCTCACACTGACTCCTCACCCTCACACTGACTCCTCACACTGACTCCTCACCCTCACACTGACTCCTCACCCTGACACTGACTCCTCACCCTCACACTGACTCCTCACCCTCACACTGACTCCTCACACTGACTCCTCACCCTCACACTGACTCCTCACCCTCACACTGACTCCTCACCCTCACACAGACTCCTCACACTGACCCTCACACTGACTCCTCACCCTCACACTGACTCCTCACCCTCACACAGACTCCTCACACACTGACTCCTCACCCTGACACTGACTCCTCACCCTCACACTGACTCCTCACCCTCACACTGACTCCTCACCCTCACACTGACTCCTCACCCTCACACAGACTCCTCACACTGACTCCTCACACTGACACTGACTCCTCACCCTCACACTGACTCCTCACACTGACTCCTCACCCTCACACTGACTCCTCACCCTCACACAGACTCCTCACACCCTCACACAGACTCCTCACACTGACTCCTCACCCTCACACTGACTCCTCACACTGGCCCTCATGTATGAAAGTTGCGCAGAAAAGGGTGTATATTTTGGGTGTATATTGGCCTTTATGAAAGTGTGAGATCCGCACAGATCTGAGTGTACGCACAGCGGCTGTTGATAAATGCCACGCTCAAAACTAAAGGATTTATGAAAGTCACGCTCATAGATGTTCAGAAGCTGCATGTCTCACGCCCCGTTTTTGCGACAGGTCTGCATGGAAGAGTCTGTGAGGAAGCCTCAAAAGGCCTGTGACACGTTTGTTTGTTCATGTTTATGTAAAAATAAATATACGCTACATTCAGCTGCATTTCCTTTGAACAAATTTGCAAAACTTTTTTGGTACATTACAAAAATCTCTCTTGAATTGTAGAAGTAAATAAATAAAGAATTCATGAATGAATGAATGAATTCATAAATATGAATAGCCTCAGCGGCAGCTCTCATCATGAACTGAATGAAGCGTTTGCAGCATCTTGAGAATGCAATGCTGTTCACTTGAGAAAGGATGAGAAGCTTTTGTGAAGTTGTGGTCCAGGATTTCACTGAGAAACTCTGGATCCAAAATTCTGAATGACGAGCATTTGAGGAGTTATACGGCGCGACCTGTCATCGCTGCTCACTGCCCAGAGATAGGCGCGTTGCCATCCTGTAAACTGCTGCATGTGGACAGGGCAGTGAGACATTTGGAGTGAGCCATACCATAGTCCATCGGTATGTTTATGGGATGAGTGTCTCTGTGAGGCTTACACAAATCTAACAAAAACATTCATTGCTTTACCAGATGTGAATGAGGAAAAACAGATAGCCGTGCGTAAATACGCAGCGCCACATATTTACAAAGCAATAGATGGGTCACACTTCCCTGTTAACCCTAACCCTGCGTAAGTCAGTAACTAAGTAAAGTGTATTTCAGAATCAGAATCATTTTTATTGCCACGTAAGTAACAGGAGGTCACAGAGTTGGAAATTGCTTTGGCTCAGTGCAACAGTCAGAAAGAGAGAGAATAAAATAAAATAAAAAAGGATCACGAAGCACTTCACATTTAAAAAATCATACAGATCAAAATAATACTGCACACAAGTCAGAATATGGTCATTGCATTTCATGCGTGTTTTGGTGTGTTGTAATGAAGGTTGAAACACTTACACCACCTCCTGCCCCGGCGTAAATGTTTTGCCCACGTCCAGATTGATAAATGCCGTAAAGTGCTTTCAGGATTCTCAGACCCGAACCCGCGTCAAGCCTGACTTGACGCCTGAACACAGCTGCATGATACACAGCTGCATGATACACAGCTGTATGATACACAGCTGTATGATACACAGCTGTATGATACACAGATGTATGATACACAGCTGTATGATACACAGCTGTATGATACACAGATGTATGATACACAGATGTATGATACACAGCTGTATGATACACAGCTGTATGATACACAGCTGTATGATACACAGATGTATGATACACAGCTGTATGATACACAGCTGTATGATACACAGATGTATGATACACAGATGTATGATACACAGCTGTATGATACACAGCTGTATGATACACAGCTGTATGATACACAGATGTATGATACACACACTTGAAGGTAACTTTGTCGACAAAGACAACACTACAGTGTGATAGAACGCTGTAGTGTTCGACTGTTTCAGGCTTTAAACCTAAAACACAGTCGAACCATTCCTTAAACAAAAGTACTGCTTTGCTTTCATTTCTGTAACACACTTTCTCTTTCTGCTACACACTTTCTTTTTCTGCTACACACTTTCTCTTTCTGCTACACACACTCTCTTTCTGCTACACACTTTCTCCTGCTCACTACACACTTTGTTATACAAGACACCTTTTTAATGAATTCAGTCCTGTGTTCTCATTGGGAAAACACATCTATTCAAAATACCAAACAAATTGTGTGAAAACACTGAGACACACACACTTGAAAACATTTACGTACAAAACGCCACACACACATGTTTCTGTACTGTCAAGTATACTGCACTGTCAAGTATACTGTACTGTACTGTCAAATATACTGCACTGTCAAGTATACTGTACTGTACTGTCAAGTATACTGTACTGTCAAGTTTACTGCACTGTCAAGTATACTGTACTGTACTGTCAAGTATACTGTACTGTACTGTCAAATATACTGCACTGTCAAGTATACTGTACTGTACTGTCAAGTATACTGCACTGTCAAGTATACTGCACTGTCAAATATACTGTACTGTCAAGTATACTGTACTGCACTGTCAAGTATACTGTACTGTACTGTCAATTATACTGCACTGTCAAGTATACTGTACTGTACTGTCAAGTATACTGTACTGTACTGTCAATTATACTGCACTGTCAAGTATACTGTACAGCACTGTCAAGTATACTGTACTGTACTGTCAAGTATACTGTACTGTACTGTCAATTATACTGCACTGTCAAGTATACTGTACTGTCAAGTATACTGTACTGTACTGTCAAGTATACTGTACTGTACTGTCAATTATACTGCACTGTCAAGTATACTGTACTGTACTGTCAAGTATACTGTACTGTACTGTCAATTATACTGCACTGTCAAGTATACTGTACAGCACTGTCAAGTATACTGTACTGCACTGTCAAGTATACTGTACTGTACTGTCAATTATACTGCACTGTCAAGTATACTGTACAGCACTGTCAAGTATACTGTACTGTACTGTCAAGTATAGTGTACTGTACTGTCAATTATACTGCACTGTCAAGTATACTGTACTGTCAAGTATACTGCACTGTCAAGTATACTGCAGTACTTTTTAGTGATGTACAAAATAGGCAATATATTATCTGTAATCTTTCAGTTCTGTTGGCACCAGTACCTATGTCCTGGGGTATTATAAGTGGCACACAAGGAATGATCTTGCACTGATTTAATGTACTCTTACTATCAGACTGTAGTAAGAGTACTTTTGCACAGTCAGACTGTAGTAAGAGTACTGTTGCACATTCAGACTGTAGTAAGAGTACTGTGTCACAGTCAGACTGTAGTAAGAGTACTGTTACACTGTCAGACTGTAGTAAGAGTACTGTTACACTGTCAGACTGTAGTAAGAGTACTGTGTCACAGTCAGACTGTAGTAAGAGTACTGTTACACTGTCAGACTGTAGTAAGAGTACTGTTACACTGTCAGACTGTAGTAAGAGTACTGTTACACTGTCAGACTGTAGTAAGAGTACTGTTACACTGTCAGACTGTAGTAAGAGTACTGTTACACTGTCAGACTGTAGTAAGAGTACTGTTACACTGTCAGACTGTAGTAAGAGTACTGTTACACTGTCAGACTGTAGTAAGAGTACGTTACACTGTCAGACTGTAGTAAGAGTACTGTTACACTGTCAGACTGTAGTAAGAGTACTGTTACTGTCAGACTGTAGTAAGAGTACTGTTACACTGTCAGACTGTAGTAAGAGTACTGTTACACTGTCAGACTGTAGTAAGAGTACTGTTACACTGTCAGACTGTAGTAAGAGTACTGTTACACTGTCAGACTGTAGTAAGAGTACTGTTACACTGTCAGACTGTAGTAAGAGTACTGTTACACTGTCAGACTGTAGTAAGAGTACTGTTACACTGTCAGACTGTAGTAAGAGTACTGTTACACTGTCAGACTGTAGTAAGAGTACTGTTACACTGTCAGACTGTAGTAAGAGTACTGTTACACTGTCAGACTGTAGTAAGAGTACTGTTACACTGTCAGACTGTAGTAAGAGTACTGTTACACTGTCAGACTGTAGTAAGAGTACTGTTACACTGTCAGACTGTAGTAAGAGTACTGTTACACTGTCAGACTGTAGTAAGAGTACGTTACACTGTCAGACTGTAGTAAGAGTACTGTTACACTGTCAGACTGTAGTAAGAGTACGTTACACTGTCAGACTGTAGTAAGAGTACGTTACACTGTCAGACTGTAGTAAGAGTACTGTTACACTGTCAGACTGTAGTAAGAGTACTGTTACACTGTCAGACTGTAGTAAGAGTACGTTACACTGTCAGACTGTAGTAAGAGTACGTTACACTGTCAGACTGTAGTAAGAGTACTGTTACACTGTCAGACTGTAGTAAGAGTACGTTACACTGTCAGACTGTAGTAAGAGTACTGTTACACTGTCAGACTGTAGTAGCCAGACTCTCCTGGCTTTTGACATATGAAGCCCTGATTACTGATGCAATCCACCTGCTGGGGCCTGATTCTGCTCTCTGATTGGATAATTTGCTTGAAAACTGTAAACATAAATCTCAATGACATTGTGTCTGTTGTATTTAAATTAGAAATGTCTGAACTTTACACTTTTGTTAAGAAAAGGTCAAATATGTTCAGTGTGTTTTCTGGGGACACAAAATGAAAGTATGACATTCTGTCTCTTTAAGAAGGTTCCTCAGATGTGAAACATGATCCGCCAAAGTGAAGCGTAAGGAGAGGTTGTGTAGTTGTGTAGTTGTGTAGTTGTGTGGTTGTGTGGTTGTACGGTAGCTGGGTGCGGTGCTGAACTGTTGAACTGTCCTCAGGTATGTAACCGTCAGACGCCGTGGATCCAAACAACACTCTCCTCCCTCGACATGTTCTCCTCCCTCAGTGTCTCAGGGATCAGGAGGAGGGTTCAGCAGAGGACCATCAACACCAGAGGGTTCAGCAGAGGACCATCAACACCAGAGGGTTCACCAGAGGACCATCAACACTGGAGGGTTCACCAGAGGACCATCAACACCAGAGGGTTCACCAGAGGACCATCAACACCAGAGGGTTCAGCATGAGGACCATCAACACCAGAGGGTTCAGCAGAGGACCATCAACACTGGAGGGTTCACCAGAGGACCATCAACACCAGAGGGTTCAGCATGAGGACCATCAACACCAGAGGGTTCAGCATGAGGACCATCAACACCAGAGGGTTCAGCAGAGGACCATCAACACCAGAGGGTTCACCAGAGGACCATCAACACTGGAGGGTTCACCAGAGGACCATCAACACCAGAGGGTTCACCAGAGGACCATCAACACCAGAGGGTTCAGCATGAGGACCATCAACACCAGAGGGTTCAGCAGAGGACCATCAACACTGGAGGGTTCACCAGAGGACCATCAACACCAGAGGGTTCAGCAGAGGACCATCAACACCAGAGGGTTCAGCAGAGGACCATCAACACCAGAGGGTTCAGCATGAGGACCATCAACACTGGAGGGTTCACCAGAGGACCATCAACACCAGAGGGTTCAGCATGAGGACCATCAACACCAGAGGGTTCAGCAGAGGACCATCAACACCAGAGGGTTCACCAGAGGACCATCAACACCAGAGGGTTCAGCAGAGGACCATCAACACCAGAGGGTTCACCAGAGGACCATCAACACCAGAGGGTTCACCAGAGGACCATCAACACCAGAGGGTTCAGCAGAGGACCATCAACACCAGAGGGTTCACCAGAGGACCATCAACACCAGAGGGTTCACCAGAGGACCATCAACACCAGAGGGTTCACCAGAGCACCATCAACACCAGAGGGTTCAGCAGAGGACCATCAACACCAGAGGGTTCAGCAGAGGACCATCAACACTGGAGGGTTCAGCAGAGGACCATCAACACCAGAGGGTTCAGCAGAGGACCATCAACACCAGAGGGTTCAGCAGAGGACCATCAACACTGGAGGGTTCACCAGAGGACCATCAACACCAGAGGGTTCAGCAGAGGACCATCAACACCAGAGGGTTCAGCATGAGGACCATCAACACTGGAGGGTTCAGCAGAGGACCATCAACACTGGAGGGTTCAGCAGAGGACCATCAACACCAGAGGGTTCAGCAGAGGACCATCAACACTGGAGGGTTCAGCAGAGGACCATCAACACCAGAGGGTTCAGCAGAGGACCATCAACACCAGAGGGTTCAGCAGAGGACCATCAACACCAGAGGGTTCAGCAGAGGACATCTACACCATCTACACCATCAACACCATCAACACCTCAACACGTCTCTCACTGCATCACAAACCATTAAAGCTGCATTACCTGACTTTATGTCTGTATTCATGAGTTAAATCTAATCCACATCCGTGCAGTGCAGTGGGATACACGTCCTGTTGAAGAATAAGTGTCGCAGATTTGTGCTGGTGTGACATTGTATTTTAGATCGAGTTTTCGTGAAACAAGGAAGAGAATGTGTTTTGGGTCCAGTTACTGCTTACTCAGCTTCCCGGTTCTATCATTCTATGGTCACGCCACGTTCAGATGTGCGATCCATGTTGTGAGGCGGGAGCTTCGTGAACAACAGTGGGTGCAAGAAGGGGAGGAGAGAGCGAGGCCGGCGCTTCGTTTTGAAACCGCTGCTTCAAAATCACAAAGTCAGTTAGTGCAGCTTTAAGTCTAAAACAAAGGTCCTGACCCAGCGATCGGCAACTGTTTTAGTGCCACAGACCCCCCCCTACAGCAGTGTGCCACAGACCCCCCCTACAGCAGTGTGCCACAGACCCCCCCTACAGCAGTGTGCCACAGACCCCCCCCTACAGCAGTGTGCCACAGACCCCCCCTACAGCAGTGTGCCACAGACCCCCCCCCTACAGCAGTGAGCCACAGACCCCCCCCTACAGCAGTGAGCCACAGACCCCCCCCTACAGCAGTGTGCCACAGACCCCCCCTACAGCAGTGTGCCACAGACCCCCCCCTACAGCAGTGTGCCACAGACCCCCCCCTACAGCAGTGAACCACAGACCCCCCCTACAGCAGTGTGCCACAGACCCCCCCTACAGCAGTGAGCCACAGACCCCCCCCCTACAGCAGTGAGCCACAGACCCCCCCCTACAGCAGTGAACCACAGACCCCCCCCCTACAGCAGTGAACCACAGACCCCCCCCTACAGCAGTGAACCACAGACCCCCCCTACAGCAGTGAGCCACAGACCCCCCCCTACAGCAGTGAACCACAGACCCCCCCCTACAGCAGTGAACCACAGACCCCCCCCTACAGCAGTGTGCCACAGACCCCCCCCTACAGCAGTGAGCCACAGACCCCCCCCTACAGCAGTGTGCCACAGACCCCCCCTACAGCAGTGTGCCACAGACCCCCCCTACAGCAGTGTGCCACAGACCCCCCCCTACAGCAGTGAGCCACAGACCCCCCCCTACAGCAGTGTGCCACAGACCCCCCCTACAGCAGTGTGCCACAGACCCCCCCCTACAGCAGTGTGCCACAGACCCCCCCCTACAGCAGTGAGCCACAGACCCCCCCCTACAGCAGTGAGCCACAGACCCCCCCCTACAGCAGTGTGCCACAGACCCCCCCCTACAGCAGTGAACCACAGACCCCCCCTACAGCAGTGTGCCACAGACCCCCCCTACAGCAGTGAGCCACAGACCCCCCCCCTACAGCAGTGAGCCACAGACCCCCCCCTACAGCAGTGAACCACAGACCCCCCCCCTACAGCAGTGAACCACAGACCCCCCCCTACAGCAGTGAACCACAGACCCCCCCCTACAGCAGTGTGCCACAGACCCCCCCCTACAGCAGTGAACCACAGACCCCCCCTACAGCAGTGTGCCACAGACCCCCCCTACAGCAGTGAACCACAGACCCCCCCCCTACAGCAGTGAGCCACAGACCCCCCCCTACAGCAGTGAACCACAGACCCCCCCCCTACAGCAGTGTGCCACAGACCCCCCCTACAGCAGTGTGCCACAGACCCCCCCTACAGCAGTGTGCCACAGACCCCCCCTACAGCAGTGTGCCACAGACCCCCCCTACAGCAGTGAACCACAGACCCCCCCCTACAGCAGTGTGCCACAGACCCCCCCCTACAGCAGTGAGCCACAGACCCCCCCCTACAGCAGTGTGCCACAGACCCCCCCCTACAGCAGTGTGCCACAGACCCCCCCCTACAGCAGTGAGCCACAGACCCCCCCCTACAGCAGTGTGCCACAGACCCCCCCTACAGCAGTGAGCCACAGACCCCCCCCTACAGCAGTGTGCCACAGACCCCCCCTACAGCAGTGTGCCACAGACCCCCCCCTACAGCAGTGTGCCACAGACCCCCCCCTACAGCAGTGTGCCACAGACCCCCCCCTACAGCAGTGTGCCACAGACCCCCCCCTACAGCAGTGTGCCACAGACCCCCCCTACAGCAGTGTGCTACAGACCCCCCCCTACAGCAGTGAGCCACAGACCCCCCCTACAGCAGTGAGCCACAGACCCCCCCCTACAGCAGTGTGCCACAGACCCCCCCCTACAGCAGTGAGCCACAGACCCCCCCCTACAGCAGTGTGCTACAGACCCCCCCCTACAGCAGTGTGCCACAGACCCCCCCCTACAGCAGTGTGCTACAGACCCCCCCCTACAGCAGTGTGCCACAGACCCCCCCCTACAGCAGTGTGCTACAGACCCCCCCCCCCCTTACACCTCATAGATCCATGGTACATACTTTACAGATCCATGGTACACACTTTACAGATCCATGGTACACACTTTACAGATCCATGGTACACACCTCATAGATCCATGGTACATACTTTACAGATCCATGGTACACACCTCATAGATCCATGGTACATACCATGCACACTGGTCTCTCCCATGGACCAATACCATGTGTTCCATATTTCATGTGTCTTAACTGCTGATTCTCTGTGTTGGTGATTTCACTGGTTGTGTTAAGCTACACAAGAATGTAGTTGTAATTGTATGGTACACAGACTTGCTCCTGTGCAACACAAAGGTTCAAGACCAGTTCAAATAGTCCACAAAATAACCACAATTTACTTCTTTTCAACAGCGTGGGAGTTTTAATGTTCAGTCTCTTACCGGTGGTGAAGCAGGACTATGGGCAGGACTATGGGTAGGACTATGGGCAGGACTATGGGCAGGACTATGGGCAGGACCGCCTTCAACTAGTTGTCTCCAGTTTCGCTGTCGATGAACGCTAGGCTTTATAGGCCAGCAGAGAAGAGCTTGAGGGTCTAACACTAGTTTATTAGTACGACACAGTTCACACGCAAGGCAACTCAAAGTGCTTTATACAAGGCGTTAAATTCATAAATAATCACAGGACATTAAAGAGATTAAGTTGTAGCAGAAACATCCATCCATCCATTTTCTTCCCCTTAATCCATTTCTGGGTCGGGGGGGTGGCAGTCAGAGCACCAGCCCCTCACTGATCCTCCTGCAGGTGGTGAGTCCACAGGAGCTGAGATCTTTCAGTGGGAGCTTTGGGCAAAGTAGGGTTAAGTGTCTTGCCCAAGGACACAACGACAGCAGTCATCAGTGGGAGTCGTGAAGTAGGTCTTACGGTGGGCTCGAACCCACGACCTTCAGGCCCAAAGGCCAATGCTCTACCAACTGAGCTACTGTCGCCCTCCTACTGTAGCAGAAACAGAACTGTTTTAATCTGGATTTGAACGTTGTCTGAGAAGAAACCGGTCTCACATTTGACAGATTTTAGCGACATGCATGTTTAGTCCTAACAAGACTGGCATGGCCAGTCCCTGTGCTCCTCAGAGTCCCAGCAGGAGGCCAGTCCCTGTGCTCCTCAGAGTCCCAGCAGGAGGCCAGTCCCTGTGCTCCTCAGAGTCCCAGCAGGAGGCCAGTCCCTGTGCTCCTCAGAGTCCCAGCAGGAGGCCAGTCCCTGTTCTCCTCAGAGTCCCAGCAGGAGTCCAGTCCCTGTGCTCCTCAGAGTCCCAGCAGGAGGCCAGTCCCTGTGCTCCTCAGAGTCCCAGCAGGAGGCCAGTCCCTGTGCTCCTCAGAGTCCCAGCAGGAGGCCAGTCCCTGTGCTCCTCAGAGTCCCAGCAGGAGGCCAGTCCCTGTGCTCCTCAGAGTCCCAGCAGGAGGCCAGTCCCTGTGCTCCTCAGAGTCCCAGCAGGAGCCAGTCCCTGTGCTCCTCAGATCCCAGCAGGAGGCCCGTGCTCCCAGCAGCAGGAGGCCAGTCCCTGTGCTCCTCAGAGTCCCAGCAGGAGGCCAGTCCCTGTGCTCCTCAGAGTCCCAGCAGGGCCCAGTCCCTGTGCTCCTCAGAGTCCCAGCAGGAGGCCAGTCCCTGTGCTCCTCAGAGTCCCAGCAGGAGGCCAGTCCCCGTGTCCTCAGCTCCTCAGAGTCCCAGCAGGAGGCCAGTCCCTGTGCTCCTCAGAGTCCCAGCAGGAGGCCAGTCCCTGTGCTCCTCAGAGTCCCAGCAGGAGGCCAGTCCCTGTGCTCCTCAGAGTCCCAGCAGGAGGCCAGTCCCTGTGCTCCTCAGAGTCCCAGCAGGAGGCCAGTCCCTGTGCTCCTCAGGTCCCAGCAGGAGGCCAGTCCCTGTGCTCCTCAGAGTCCCAGCAGGAGGCCAGTCCCTGTGCTCCTCAGAGTCCCAGCAGGAGGCCAGTCCCTGTGCTCCTCAGAGTCCCAGCAGGAGGCCAGTCCCTGTGCTCCTCAGAGTCCCAGCAGGAGGCCAGTCCCTGTGCTCCTCAGAGTCCCAGCAGGAGGCCAGTCCCTGTGCTCCTCAGAGTCCCAGCAGGAGGCCAGTCCCTGTGCTCCTCAGAGTCCCAGCAGGAGGCCAGTCCCTGTGCTCCTCAGAGTCCCAGCAGGAGGCCAGTCCCTGTGCTCCTCAGAGTCCCAGCAGGAGGCCAGTCCCTGTGCTCCTCAGAGTCCCAGCAGGAGGCCAGTCCCTGTGCTCCTCAGAGTCCCAGCAGGAGGCCAGTCCCTGTGCTCCTCAGAGTCCCAGCAGGAGGCCAGTCCCTGTGCTCCTCAGAGTCCCAGCAGGAGGCCCGTCCCTGTGCTCCTCAGAGTCCCAGCAGGAGGCCAGTCCCTGTGCTCCTCAGAGTCCCAGCAGGAGGCCAGTCCCTGTGCTCCTCAGAGTCCCAGCAGGAGCCAGTCCCTGTGCTCCTCAGAGTCCCAGCAGGAGGCCAGTCCCTGTGCTCCTCAGAGTCCCAGCAGGAGGCCAGTCCCTGTGCTCCTCAGAGTCTCAGCAGGAGCCATCCCTGTGCTCCTCAGAGTCCCAGCAGAGGCCAGTCCCTGTGCTCCTCAGAGTCCCAGCAGGAGGCCAGTCCCTGTGCTCCTCAGAGTCCCAGCAGGAGGCCATCCCTGTGCTCCTCAGAGTCCCAGCAGGGGCCAGTCCCTGTGCTCCTCAGAGTCCCATTAGGAGGCCAGTCCCTGTGCTCCTCAGAGTCCCAGCAGGAGGCCAGTCCCTGTGCTCCTCAGAGTCCCAGCAGGAGGCCAGTCCCTGTGCTCCTCAGAGTCCCAGCAGGAGGCCAGTCCCTGTGCTCCTCAGAGTCCCAGCAGGAGGCCAGTCCCTGTGCTCCTCAGAGTCCCAGCAGGAGGCCAGTCCCTGTGCTCCTCAGAGTCCCAGCAGGAGGCCAGTCCCTGTGCTCCTCAGAGTCCAGCAGGAGGCCAGTCCCTGTGCTCCTCAGAGTCCCAGCAGGAGGCCAGTCCCTGTGCTCCTCAGAGTCCCAGCAGGAGGCCAGTCCCTGTGCTCCTCAGAGTCCCAGCAGGAGGCCATCCCTGTGCTCCTCAGAGTCCCAGCAGGAGGCCAGTCCCTGTGCTCCTCAGAGTCCCAGCAGGAGGCCAGTCCCTGTGCTCCTCAGAGTCCCATTAGCAGGAGCCAGTCCCTGTGCTCCTCAGAGTCCCAGCAGGAGGCCAGTCCCTGTGCTCCTCAGAGTCCCAGCAGGAGGCCAGTCCCTGTGCTCCTCAGAGTCCCAGCAGGAGGCCAGTCCCTGTGCTCCTCAGAGTCCCAGCAGGAGGCCAGTCCCTGTGCTCCTCAGAGTCCCAGCAGGAGGCCAGTCCCTGTGCTCCTCAGAGTCCCAGCAGGAGGCCAGTCCCTGTGCTCCTCAGAGTCCCAGCAGGAGGCCAGTCCCTGTGCTCCTCAGAGTCCCAGCAGGAGGCCAGTCCCTGTGCTCCTCAGAGTCCCAGCAGGAGGCCAGTCCCTGTGCTCCTCAGAGTCCCAGCAGGAGGCCAGTCCCTGTGCTCCTCAGAGTCCCAGCAGGAGGCCAGTCCCTGTGCTCCTCAGAGTCCCAGCAGGAGGCCAGTCCCTCTGAGGTGTACTTGATTGTACTTGACTCACATCAGACACTAAACAGATTTCAACACTGTGCACTCTGCATCTACAGTGTGTGAGGAACAGGAGGAGCAAATACACTCAATGTGTTTGTGTATGTCCCTGAATCACAGCAGTAGTATTCTCAGAGTACTTCACATCTGTAGTATTCTCAGAGGACTTCACAGCAGTAGTATTCTCAGAGGACTTCACAGCAGTAGTATTCTCAGAGTACTTCACAGCAGTAGTATTCTCAGAGTACTTTGTAAAGTTCTGTGGTTGTTGGTCGGATGCAGGAGGTTCTGGAGACAGAGATGATCCAGGACATGTTTGGACCAACGTCTGTGTGTTTGATATTGTTGCCTTTCCTGTGTTTGTAAAGTCCTCATAGAAAAATACTGTTGTGATTCAGGGCTATACAGAAATAAACAAAAATATACATTGTTCCTAATTCATTTGTTTTTGACTGGTTTGTGTTTTACAGTGTAAGAGAAAATATTTGCCAGTAAAGATTGTTGACACATTTAAAGCAGGTCCTGGGGCTGAGTCTGGTCCTCTGTGTTTGGGAACAGCTGCTCTGCCCTGGGGCTACGCTCCTGTCTGCTCTGCCTGGGCTGAGGCTGAGGCTGAGGCTGAGGCTGAGACTGAGGCTGAGGGAGGCTGAGGGAGGCTGAGGCTGAGGTTGAGGGAGGCTGAGGCTGAGGCTGAGACTGAGGCTGAGGGAGGCTGAGGGAGGCTGAGGCTGAGGTTGAGGGAGGCTGAGGCTGAAGCTGAGACTGAGGCTGAGGCTGAAGCTGAGACTGAGGCTGAGGCTGAGGCTGAAGCTGAGACTGAGGGAGGCTGAGGCTGAGACTGAAGCTGAGGGAAGCTGAGGCTGAGGCTGATGGTGAGACTGAGGCTGAGACTGAGGCTGAGGGAGGCTGAGGGTGAGACTGAGGCTGAGGGAGGCTGAGGCGGAGGGAGGCTGAGGCAAAGGCTGAAACTGAGACTGAAGCTGAGGGAGGCTGAGGCTGAGGCTGAGGGAGGTTGAGGCTGAGGCTGAGACTGAGGCTGAGGAAGGCTGAGGCTGAAGCTGAGACTGAGGCTGAGGGAGGCTGAGGCTGAGACTGAGGCTGAGGCTGAGGGAGGCTGAGGCTGAGAATGAAGCTGAGGGAGGCTGAGGCTGAGGCTGAGACTGAGGCTGAGGGAGGCTGAGGCTGAGACTGAGGCTGAGGGAGGCTGAGGCTGAGGGAGGCTGAGGCTGATGGTGAGACTGAGGCTGAGGGAGGCTGAGGCTGATGGTGAGACTGAGGCTGAGGGAGGCTGAGGCTGATGGTGAGACTGAGGCTGAGGGAGGCTGAGGCTGATGGTGAGACTGAGGCTGAGGGTGAGACTGAGGTGGAGGCGGAGGTGGAGGCTGAGGCTTGCAGGGGTCATGGTCGGCCTCAGGGGTCATGGATTTGAACTTATCAACTGTGTCTGGAGTAGGTTCAGATGTTGTTCTTTTGTTTTAGATTCAAACACAACTAAACGACCGTAACGAGCCTAACTGTGGATGCAACACTGACATTTCCCCCCCCCCCCCCCCTGAGTGCTTACCTGTAGTGTGGTATGTGCCCCCCCCCCCCCCCCTGAGTGCTTACCTGTAGTGTGGTATGTGCCCCCCCCCCCTGAGTGCTTACCCCCCCCCCCCCGAGTGCTTGCCTGTAGTGTGGTATGTGCCCCCCCCCCTGAGTGCTTACCCCCCCCCCCCCCCCCCCGAGTGCTTGCCTGTAGTGTGGTATGTGCCCCCCCCCCCCTCACAGGACTGACGCTGGAATGCTGATTTAACAGATGTTGTCTGAAGAATCCAGTAATTTTGTGGAGGAGGCTGAACCCACTGCACCTCCCCTCAGCACCAGCACCTGAGCACCCAGCACCTGAGGACCCAGCACCTGAGAACCAGCACCTGAGGACCCAGCACCTGAGGACCCAGCACCTGAGGACCCAGCACCTGAGGACCCAGCACCTGAGGACCCAGCACCTGAGAACCAGCACCTGAGGACCCAGCACCTGAGGACCCAGCACCTGAGGACCCAGACCTGAGGACCCAGCACCTGAGGACCCAGCACCTGAGGACCCAGCACCTGAGGACCCAGCACCTGAGAACCAGCACCTGAGAACCAGCACCTGAGGACCCAGACCTGAGGACCCAGCACCTGAGGACACAGCACCTGAGGACCCAGACCTGAGGACCCAGCACCTGAGGACCCAGCACCTGAGGACCCAGCACCTGAGAACCAGCACCTGAGGACCCAGCACCTGAGGACCCAGCACCTGAGGACCCAGCACCTGAGGACCCAGCACCTGAGAACCAGCACCTGAGGACCCAGCACCTGAGGACCCAGCACCTGAGGACCCAGACCTGAGGACCCAGCACCTGAGGACCCAGCACCTGAGGACCCAGAACCTGAGAACCAGCACCTGAGAACCAGCACCTGAGGACCCAGACCTGAGGACCCAGCACCTGAGGACCCAGCACCTGAGGACACAGCACCTGAGGACCCAGACCTGAGGACCCAGCACCTGAGGACCCAGCACCTGAGGACCCAGCACCTGAGGACCCAGCACCTGAGAACCAGCACCTGAGGACCAGCCCCTGAGGACCCAGCACCTGAGGACCCAGCACCTGAGGACCCAGCACCTGAGGACTCAGCACCTGAGGACCAGCCCCTGAGGACCAGCCCCTGAGGACCCAGCACCTGAGGACCCAGCCCCTGAGCACCAGTGCCTGAGCACCAGCACCTGAGCACCAGTACCTGAGGACCCAGCACCTGCGGACACAGCACCTGAGGACACAGCACCTGAGGACCCAGCACCTGAGGACCAGCCCCTGAGCACCAGTACCTGAGGAACAGCACCTGAGGACCCAGCACCTGAGGACCCAGCACCTGAGCACCAGCACCTGAGGACCCAGCACCTGAGCACCAGTACCTGAGGAACAGCACCTGAGGACCCAGCACCTGAGGACCCAGTACCTGAGGACCAGTACCTGAGGAACAGCACCTGAGGACCCAGCACCTGAGGACCCAGCACCTGCGGACACAGCACCTGAGGACACAGCACCTGAGGACCCAGCACCTGAGGACCCAGTACCTGAGGACACAGCACCTGAGGACCCAGCACCTGAGGACCCAGTACCTGCGGACACAGCACCTGAGGACCCAGCACCTGCGGACACAGCACCTGAGGACACAGCACCTGAGGACACAGCACCTGAGGACCCAGCACCTGAGCACCAGTACCTGAGGAACAGCACCTGAGGACCCAGCACCTGAGAACCAGCACCTGAGCACCAGTACCTGAGGACACAGCACCTGCGGACACAGCACCTGAGGACCCAGCACCTGAGGACACAGCACCTGAGGACCCAGCACCTGAGCACCAGCACCTGAGGACCCAGCACCTGAGGACCCAGCACCTGCGGACACAGCACCTGAGGACACAGTACCTGAGGACCCAGCACCTGAGCACCAGCACCTGAGGACCCAGCACCTGAGGACCCAGCACCTGAGGACACAGTACCTGAGGACACAGCACCTGAGGACACAGCACCTGAGGACCCAGCACCTGAGGACCCAGTACCTGAGGACCCAGCACCTGAGCACCAGCACCTGAGGACCCAGCACCTGAGGACCCAGCACCTGAGGACCCAGTACCTGAGGACCCAGCACCTGAGCACCAGCACCTGAGGACCCAGCACCTGAGGACCCAGCACCTGAGCACCAGCACCTGAGGACCCAGCACCTGAGGACCCAGTACCTGAGGACCCAGCACCTGAGGACCCAGCACCTGAGGACCCAGCACCCAGTTAGTTAGTTAGTTACTTCATTGATCCCTGTGGGAGAATGCAGCAAAAACACATCCATCCAAACAACCAAAACAAAAACATGGATCATTCTAAAAGTATCGAACAACAGCATTAAAAAGCACCAGCACTTTAGCTCACAGCAGCAGAGGTGGAGTAGCCTCTGGGTGGAGCAGGACAGCTCACAGCAGCAGAGGTGGAGTAGCCTCTGGGTGGAGCAGGACAGGTCACAGCAGCAGAGGTGGAGTAGCCTCTGGGTGGAGCAGGACGGGTCACAGCAGCAGAGGTGGAGTAGCCTCTGGGTGGAGCAGGACAGCTCACAGCAGCAGAGGTGGAGTAGCCTCTGGGTGGAGCAGGACGGGTCACAGCAGC